TCATCTTCTTCTTTTCAATAATGTTGACCACAGCATAACTAAAATAGACTCGGAGTAAGTGAGATCTTATTATTGTATTGTTATGTCAATGAAAAGGCATTGCCTTCCATGAAATGAATAGACATAAAGAGTAGACTGGAAATGATTATTATTATCCATTTTGTTATTGTTATCATCGATTATTATTGAAGGAGTAAAGTATCACCGATTCAACTGCACCTTTCCTTTGCCGTTTCTATTTAATGATATAATCCCATTATGCTTACTAGTGGCGTGAGTTTTTCTCTTGACCCCCCAACATATGAAGCGCGTGATTTAACTTCATTATCAACTGATGTTGCGGCAATGTTGAATAGTCAAGAGACGCGCTTTGTCTTTGTCCTTTATCCGATTATTGCTTAAATAATTGTTGCTTTTTCAACCTTAACTGCCGACAATTTTCACTTCTTACGCGTTACACCCTTTAGTTCTTGTGTTAAAAGTTGCGAATAAGGGAATTTAGATCACCAAAATATTGAAAAAACAAGCTGCTAAGGCATGACTCTAAAGTTTGTCAGTAAAATATAATTTGAATTAAACAAAGTATTTATGCTGAAATAAATTATTTATTTGAGATAATTATCGATAGTGGACCTTGTTCAGCAGCTTGAGATATTTTTTCTTTTTCATTTTCAAATAATTTGACAAAATAATTACTATCGATTTCAGATAGCTTCGATTTGATTCTTCTCTCAAGTTGCAAGAAATTATCAGCTTTCCAGTTATTGGAATAAACTTTTTGTTTGAGATGGGCCCAAAATCTTTCAATACACCTTAATTGTGGTATGTTTTTTAGTCGCGCCATCTGGCGACATAACTGTTCGGGCGTCGATTTTGGGACATCAACTCGTTTATAAGTTTTGATTCCGAATTTAGTCAATAGTTTTCGACAATATGGATGACATATTCCGAATTTAGAGGCCAATTCACACTGGGAGCCATTCCTTCCTTTAGCAATCTTTTCAAATTGTCGTAATTTTTTACCGTCCATTTTAATGGACTTAAGACCACAATTTGCATAATAATTAACACTTTCATTATTCCTAACTTTTGCTCCAACTCTGTACACTGATCGAGCAACAATTCCGTGTTCTTTAAGTCGTTTAGCACATTCATATAAAGAAAATTCAGGATGATCACTAACAGAAGAAACAATTAAGTTACGACGAGCATTACGATCAAGCACCCATTTGATAAAAGACTTTGTTTAAAATGAAGAAAAATTAGTATTGTATTAAAGCCTAAAAAATTTCCGTTAAATTGAGCCATATTAGATGCCTATCAGTCTAGTCATTATGTCCCCATTAAAAATCGAAAAATTTACTTACAAACTTTAGAGCCCATACCTTATAATAGGACTTGGAAACTCTGGGTACAATCATACCTACTGAACTAAGGACAAAAGCACTTAATTTTATTCAATAGGTATTGTTGACTTTTTGAGCTTGTTATCGAGTTTTGTTTTACTCATTTTTGGTTTTATTTTTGATGAAATTGCTAGATAGACTGCAGAGTGTCTTAATGATTGTCAGTTTGTACAGTTTGTATGTTGTTTGCTGTAGCAAATGAGTAAAATTAAAACACCAAACTATTGAAGAGTATAGCAATGGAAAAGCCATAGAAAAGTCAAATTGCTTCAATAGTTGACCTCGATTTGCGCTTTATTCAACGCATCAGAACAGTGAGGTACCTTGAATTTGGACGCAATTGATGGAGTTTTCCAAGCATTTTGAATGAGTTTATCTTCATTTCTAACAAGCGAGGGGTGCTGTTTGATGCAATAAGTTATGTCGAATGATTTAACATGTTTCATGAATTGGTTAAAATGCAAAAAGATCGATGGCTATTTGTTAATTTATCGCAAAAAACAATTAAAATAAATAAATCAATGCCTAACACAATTATACCAGGTATTTACAATCTCGAACCAAAACCTCCGCAGTTACACTTACACCTTTACCTACTGAGCTAACCTTCAGTTTTAGTTTTTAATGATTTTTATTGATCTCGGCGTTTCACTAGCTTTCTTTGTTCCTTTGTTGTTACATTATTATTCTTAAAACAGCTTTTTTACTGTTTCAAGGGACTCGCTCTTTCTGTACTTCACTGTGAAAAGTACTAATAAAACCTAGAAATTGAGGAATTTTGAGTCATATAATTATAATTCTGATGACGTCTCACTGAAAAAATAAAGTGTATTAGTTTCTATCGAATATTCGTCTATTGATTCAAATGATTAGTTGAGTATAAAAGATAGTGCATCAAGTTGTTAGGTGTTCATTTACAAATACACTAAAGTGCAAACAAGCAAAAAAGTGATGGAACTTCGAAAATTTTACATTTGTGTCTTTCTTATCATCAATATCACTTTATCTGTTGATACCCAGTCGAACCTTCCAACTCAAGGATCCGTAAAACGAAACGGGCTCGACAATGATGACGTACTTGTACAAGGGTTGTTGGAAATTGTTGGGGCTGCAGAACAAGATTTATCCAGTTCACCAAATGACCAATCTAATATACACAAATGATAAACTTTTCTGCAGAAAAAAAGTGTAGTTGGAAAAAATAACTCAGTCATTTTTATGTTTTTGAACAACTGAGAGATCTTGCTTCCTCTGCATAAACTTTTCACGAGTCTTGTAACAAATGAAAACTCTCTTCAGCGAAAATAAATATTAGGATTTCCGAAAAAATTACTATTTATTATTGACTGTCATCTCGTGTTATCGCGTCAAATTTAGCAGCCAAGAATGCGTTTGCATTCATTATCTGCATTAGTTGCGTTTATTCGATAATTAACCCTGTCCAGGCCATGTTGACTTTAAATTTTTTCAATCGGAACAAAAGTTTAATTTTTGTTCAACTCAATCAGACAATGAATTGCATTTTCAAAGATCAAATTTTCGATCAAATGTTCAAATGTGTTTCTTTGAAAGAAACTATTATGATCATTTTACTTGGTGAACGTCACTTGCAGTGTTACAATTGCAAACTCTAAACCAATTAACCTTCCCTTCAATCCTAATGTGTTCATCAGAGACAAAAAAAGTAAACTTTTTCTTGATCAACTGTTCAAACTAAACTTACATCCATCTTATTGCCTTAACCTTTACCACCTTCCTATCATCATCATCAACATCTTCATGGTTTTACTCCAATGAAACAGTTTTGTTAACTCTTTTTTTTCCTTCTTCCTCTCTTCACTTTACCATCTTCTTCTCGCCTTGTCTTCTCTCCACAATCAAATCTCAAGAGGGAGGAAATCAACATTAAAAGATGATAATGTTAGATAGAGAGGAGATGAATTAGAAGATGGTGAAGGTGAAGACAAAGAATAAGAAGAAAGTGAAGAAAATGAGAAATGTAAAGAAAAAGAATGAGAAGAGAAGAGAAAATTTCTCACCAAATCTGTTGAGAAACTGTCATCAACATTCAAGAGTTTTGCACCAAAAGTAAATCAACATTTTGTTCACTTCTCACCATCCATTGACGTTTTCAATTTGAAAAGCCACAATAAAAGATGATTAGTAATGTTTGAAAAGTTGCAAGTTGGTCAAGACTGAATAGTGTTGAATTCAAATCAAATGGTCATCAAGCAAACGAAAAGCAAACAAACTTGTAAACTTTTGTTTCACTCAACTTCGTCATTTTCATTTTTCATGATAACTCACATTGATTTATCATTATCACCACGTACCATCTTCATCATTTTGTCACGTATTTCAATCTTTCCCTTTACCATGATAATCATTCACAATTTATCCAACTTTTTATCACCAACAAAATGCTTTATTTCACTTGAAAATTTTACCAGATTTTCTTTTCTACTTTGAATACTCAATTTGAATAGACAATTTGAAATCATTTGATCCAGCAAAACTCGCTTAATGTTTAACAATCTTGATTTTGATCACTCGTAATCATCTAACTTTGAGAAAAGAGTTTATTGTCAATTTTGAAGCTTCATTTTGGCTGAAGTTCATTGAATGTGAAAATGGTTTGGATTGAAACAAGACTTGTTTTATCCATAAAAAGCACATTTCATTGCAATTGATGATTTACTCAATTGGCTTAATGATTATTCAAAAGTTGAAAGTGTTAATGTAATTGAAAAAGATCAAATGATGGAAAGAATTTTCGTCGACTTTTTTTCGTCTTTTTTATCCTTATTTTCTGGGTAATGATGGTGGAATTGGAATTGAAGTAAAGATGGTTCCTGCATGAATATTGCCTCTCTGAATGTCTTTTAGTTGATTAACTATAATTTGTCATTTTTTCTCATTTCAGGATCAGATTGAAGCCTTAGAATGTTTGGAAAAATTGTTGGATAAACTGGACGAAACTCAAATAGTTAATGAAGTGTTACCTGTTCTTGGTGAAATTAGACCAACTGATCCTGCCGTGGTTATGCCTATTGCTAGTAAGCAATCACTTTACCTTTAATAACAACATGTGGCCATTAGTGTCACCTCAAGTTGACCTTTGAAGATGAAGCTTCATGATGACAATATTTCGATAAGCAATGATCAAGTCTAGTAATGGAAGTAGTCAAGTTTCGAGTCTTCTCATGTTCAGACTGGTTGATTGCAAGGTTTTTCAGTTCATTTAGTTGGAAATGAATTTGACAGAAGAAAATGAAAAGAGATTCTTTTAGCAGAGATCAAACCATTGTAACTCTTTTATTATGGTCAATTTAGCATTGAGACAACATGAGAGTTTCATGATTATTCAAAGAGGTTACTATTGCTAATTCAATTTTGGCAAAGAAATTTTCAATCAATTCCGTCAATAAAGCTCGCTTTATGCTTTTGCAATAAAATGAAGGCTATTGCGTGAATGAACTTACAATTATCTTATTTCAATTATGATTAAAAATGGATTGCAATGGAAATTTCGACCTTTCGGTATTTTCATCTTTACCAATTCTTTTGATTTCCATCTCTTGAAGATCGATTTCAACTTTGGACAGACCGATTACACTGCAAACATATGATTTTCAAATTAGAATGAAGCTCTGAGGTCATGTTGAAACTCTTATGCTGGTTTAAAAGGTCTGTGAAAAGTGTTTTGGATGACTTTCAGTAACTAAACCCGAAAACAAAATATTTAATACGAAATAATTTATCAGCACATTTCAAGATTTGTCATTGACAAAGGTTCTTTTATTCACTTAAGCATCTTTTAAATAAACAGAATTCAATTTTTCTATATATTTTGTAAATCTTTCACTGCCAATAGTTCTGCAATTCTTTCAACAGCATCCTCCGGCAGTGGAATCGAGAATTCTGCAGGCGCGAGAGTTCCACCATTATTTCCTTGAAATGATTGAAAGGCCGCTATGACTTTTAACGAGAATTTGTAGCTTACTTTGTATTTAGTGTAATTTAGTTGATAATCTGATTATTCAGTTTCAATGTTAAAGAAAAAACAACGCTATTTATTCATCGTTTATTGAGATGAAGCTTTTTAGAGGATCTTTGTGTAAGTGCATGTTTATTCAGTAGTAATTTACGCCCCTTGAATAAATACTAAATTTGTTGTTGTGTTCAACTCATGAATCCTGTTCAGGTATCTCTGAATAATTAACTTTAGAAAAGTGACAATTATATCAGATAATCTCAATAGAAACTTATTAAACACGAGCACTGAATGATAGGGCCGTACTTTGTACAAATCTTGCGACCGACAAGTTGCCTCTATTTCGCTTTCAAACGATCATATAATAATAAGATGATCAATTTGATCAAAAGTCATGAGAAAAACGAAGAGAAGTAAATGATTTGTCTTTGATTTGAACACAAATGGTAACACGTAAGCTCGAAACTCCACATTCTCGATTGGATTATCTCATAACAGACCATGTAAAGAGAAAATCACAAAAAAATGCTTTCTTTAATCGTTCAAACTTTGATAATCTTTAATTTCTTCCAGGAATGTATATGCGCCTGTTAACTGATAAAAAGTTTGGGATCGAGGAAAACATTTTGGCCACCAAAATAATGCCTGCAATGCTTCCTGTCGTTGTCAATCCTAACCTTGCTATTGACGAGGTAAATAAGTTCAGCAATAATGATTCAATTCAACATTCCAAAGATGACTTTTCTTTCTAATTATTCATTTTCATTTCTTTTTTTCTCCACAAATGCTCCTCTAATTGAACTTCTGGCTGGTTTTGTTTATTCAGTTCAATTTTCTATCTGATCTTCTTCAAAAAATGTTGAATCAAATAACAAAAAGTCAGAGAGACAAAATATTGCCTGAAAATTTAGCCTCACAATTAAGCCCATCAACTGAAAAGTAAGTTTATTCATCAATTCAAACCTTCACCTTTTCTGGTTTATTTATGCAGCCATTTTGTCATTCCCTGTTGGCTGTTAATTAATTTTAATTATTTACTTTGTACAGTTAAACGGTACACAAATTTGTTCAAACGTTTAACCGATTTTTCAATTGAGGTTTAATTGATACTCAATACACAATGCAACTCCAACAAAATGTCAAACGAATCAAAGTTTTTTACAAATTGCTTCTCTAATTGACCAAGATCAACTAAACTCTCCATTTAAATGCATGAAATCCAGACATTAATAGTTTTTTAATGCATTTCATTTGTTTGAGGAATCTCAAGTTCTCATGACAAACTTGTTTAACTTTTCATGACAAAACCAAGTCAATGAAATAGAACCTCAAATTTTCTTACAGAATTTCTTATTCATTTCTGAAATGTCAATAGATGAAAATGTATTCATAATTTGTCGATAATTAACGAAATTCTGAGTCGAAAATTTACAACTGAAAATGAGCCAAGATCGACTTAGAACTATTTTCATTTGTTGAAAGTTCCAAGTTTCTTTTCACAACCATTTTCCATGCAGAATATGAGTATTTTTGTAAAGGTCATAAAATGGCTGAACAAACTTTCTACTTGAGTAAAGCAAACATTTAAGCAAAGCAAACAAAGTCAATTAAACTTGTCACCTTCAGATACAATTACATTGCAAACTTTTAGTAAAACGATTTTTCGATTTGACTTGATCCTAATAAACATTTATTACTCATGTTATTGCAAGAAGGAAAAGCTGATAAAATGTCGATCATGGATCATGAATCATCAGGCATGATCAGTGATTAACTATGATTACCATCGATGAATCTGTTGAATAACACTTGAATTTATTTGCCCATTTAACTTTCAACTCTCATTGATTTGTAAATATAAAAGAGTTGAACGAAAAGCAAGAGAAGTAAAATAAGCTTTACTTTAATACCTTTACTGTTGATCAATAAATTGATTGAATAATTCAATTTTATTCATTCTCGTTCCATAACCATGAACAGTTAAATGGTTCAACTGAGAATAGGAAAGTTTAAACATTTTGGAAATGAACAAAAGGGCCAAAAATTTCAATTAAAAATGATACATTGGATTCAGTTGTAATTAAACATTGGCTAATTTATAACCTTTTTTGCCCAAAGTACATGGTATTATCATGATGGCTGGATATCTAATTAAGAAAGGAGAACAAAAAAATGTATAATTAAAATACTGGATTATTCAGTTTATTCAGTTTAATCAAATCATTTTTTCTCCTTGATTATTCCCTTTCATCTTATGGTAATTTAATGAGTGAATAAATAATATTATTATATTTACTCACTACTGAAAGCTTTTAATTCCCTTGTATTCAAGTTCATCGGAAGGTAAAAGGAGCAACGTTGAAGATTAATTTGTCATTAATTGGATGATAATAGATGATAAAAGTAAAAATGTCCTTTGAGATGTTCAACTGAAACTCAGGTAATAATAGCATTACCGATGAGAGACTTGCTTACGAGAAATTAAAAGATAATAGCAATCATAACAATAATGTTATATCATTGTTATTGTCTATCATCTGTTTTTGCGTCTTTTATTGATACCAATTATATTGGCATCAATGGAAATGAATCCACATTCTTTACCTTTCCTCAATAGTTTTACCAGAAAAAGTTTCGTCCATTTCATCTGCAGATTGAACCAGTGTTCATGATCGTTTACTCGAGTCTCTTTTCTAATTCGAAGATATCTTCGCTTTATTCTGTATCATTATTGTGAAAGAAATTAATTTCAAGATTTATTTATTGTAATGTTGACAAAATGTGGTCAAAATTTACAAGCTTTCAAGCTCAGCCTAGTCTAACAGACTCAAGTCTGACTCAAAGCTGTTATGATCAAATCAAGCTAAACAGCAAAAAAGAGTGAACTCTTGTCGTGATATTTATAAAAGCTTTTCTCTGTGTCTCAAGTAATACAGTACACGCCAAAAGTTTAGGAATTTTTGATTATTTCTAATTTGCGCCAAATTATTTTTTCGATTGGGACTAAACCATAGTAATTAATTCCCCTAAGCATGTTAAATCATATGTTCAAATCAAAATATAAAATAAATTTTGTTAAACTAATTAAATTGAATTTGTTGCAATTACTTTATTATTTTTGTGCCAAAAGTTTAGGAATCGAGGTCATATTATCGGTATTACTTAGGTTACGGTATGTAAATTTTCCGAAGTTCAGTTTTAGATCTTGATAATGATTTATGCAATTTCTTAGGTCGTAATAAAGAATGGGTCAGAAAAAAATGCTGAGTGAAGATGAAAAGGCTAAGATCGCAGTTTTGGCTCAAGTTAATCCAGATTGGACTAAAAAGCAAATTGCTGATGTGATCGGACGTAGCCCACAAACTATTGCTAGGTTCCTCAAAAGTCCAGAAACTTATAAAAGTTAGATTAGTAGCGGTCGACCTAAAGTTACAACTGATCGAGACGACAGAAAAATAGCAAGACAAGCTAGTAATGATAAGATTTCGGCGATTGCAATTCATGGTACTTTGGAATCTCAATGCAGTTTAAGAAAAGTTCAGAGACGATTGCAACAAAATAAGAATCTTAAGTTCTGCAAACATAACGCAAAACCAATGCTAAGTGCAAATCATAAATTGTGCAGACTTGAATTCGCAAAATTGCATGTTACTTGGAGGATGGATGATTGGTCGAAAATAATTTGGTCTGATGAGAAAAAGTTCAATCTAGATGGACCAGATGCATATAGATTCTATTGGCACGATCTGAGAAAAGAAAAGCAAATTTTTGCAAAACGCAATTGTGGTGGAGGCTCAGTAATGGTTTGGGCGGCTTTTGGCATTAATGGTTGCACTCCTTTGGCATTTTGCAAAACAAAAATGACATCATGCGATTATCAGGATATTCTTGCTGAATATTTGCTACCTGAAGCACCTCTAATTTCACCCGGTGAATACATTTTTATGCATGATAACGCACCTATTCACCGATCGAACTCAACTAAAGATTGGTTAGAAGCTAATGGCGTTGAAACTATGCAGTGGCCTGCTTTATCCCCTGACTTGAATCCCATTGAAAATCTCTGGGGATGGCTATCAAGAAAAGTCTATTCCCAGGGTCGACAATTTCATTCAGTTTCTGATTTGAAACGCGGCATTCTGAATGCATGGTCTGAAATTCCAGACGAATTGATAAAAAAACTTTTTAACTCAATGAATGATAGAATGATAAAAGTTATTCAGGCTCGAGGAAGCTCAATTGATTATTGATTGATTCAGGCTGAATATTCAGTCAATTCCTAAACTTTTGTCACCCAGCCTAACACTTGAAATCTATCAAATCAAAATTTAAGCAAAATGAAGAGAGCTGTTGTTATTTGTAAATTACCATTAAAATGAGCATGAAAAAATGTGTAAGTTAATTTAATTTGAACAAGAAAATTGAATTGCTAATTCTTTAATCAAGAAAAATCAAAAATTCCTAAACTTTTGGCGTGTACTGTATTAATACAATCTTCATCTTGTAAAGCTTTTTGTAACGTGAATTACTTCATTTATCGTCTGTTGCAATTGATTTTTCAATATTATAATAATAGAAAATATTTTCAAAACATTTCAATAAAACTTGAAATAGTCCGGTTTTCAAATTTATATCAATAAATTATAAAGCTGGTGGATATCCAATTCGATGGTAAACCGATACTCTGGCAAATAATACAAGACACTTGCAGCTTTAAAATTTTAATACTTATCAAGGACTTATATTACATAATAATATAATACATCCAACGCACCCGTTTATCATTTATACTCATAAAGACTAGAAAATTAGGCGAGTTTGCGAGTGCTTTGACCATGGCAATATCGTTACTTCTAGTAATATATTGGATAATCATGCGTTAACCGCTTTCTCAACAAAAATGTCTTGACTTTGATGATATTATTATGCCATCCACCGTCGGAAGAGTTATGAAGAAATGGTTTCTTTTCTTTGACTGGTTTATCACGATTGTATGAGCGAATTAATTCGATGATTAAAACGAAACTTGAAAGAATCAAGAGAAGAACAAAAAGATAGAGTAAATCTTTAATCGTGATAAATGCAATCGGATGATATGCCATTGGAGGGCTTTCAATTTGTTTATAGCGTTTGCACTGAGCACAAGTTTTATAATATCTAACTCTCCTCTCGGTAACCGCAGTGACTGCCTTATCAAGTGCGTCAAGACAGAAGCCCATCTCAAGGCAGGAATAAGCTGCCCGTTGTAGAAACTCTTTCTTGCTTTTCTCGATAAACTTGTGATAAACTAGTAACCGTAAAGTATTGAAATAACGCTGATTACTAACGTGAATATAAAAGTTAGCATTTTTCTTGACGTTTATCATAAAGTTGCAAAATATTCTTGCGTAAATCTTGGTTGCAGTTATTGATTCAAAAAGCACGATTCTGTCATCGAATAAATGACCATAAATATAGCTAAAACCTTCCTCAACATCAACTGTATTGATATGACTTGACAAGAATGAATCGTCCGTCGTCTTAACAGCACAGTATAAATTATGAATGGCAGCTACAGATTGAGTTGACTTGTTGAGATCATCCAAATAAACCAAAGGTTCATCTCGAGATTGAATGGAATAGTTGGTCGTAAATGAAGATGATAATAATTTGGAGACGTAAAAGACGCCAAAGTAGCAAATGACCAAAATTATGAAGCCAAATTTTCCATCAATCAGCCGTTTTATTGTACCCTTGAAAGACCAAGGTAGACTCTTCTCACGGGCTAAATGAATATAAACGCCAAGGGTGAACAAGAAACCAATTAGAATGTAAACATTGAGTTGGATTATTTGAAAACTAGTCAAGATTCCAACATATTCAGATTTAATTGCAGTTTCAGTGTAAAGGTTGACAAAACCACAGCCTTCAGACTCCATCAATGAAGTGAAACTCATGTT